AAGTTTATTCTCACCATCATTAATGTTGAAATTAAATAGAAAATTAAGTTAACACTTGGTGCTGCCAGGCCCTCTCGAACAATGCTCCTATCAACCTCCTCCAATCGGCAGTTAAGCGTGAGATTTTTAAGCCCGTTTTTATGAACTTTCCATTCTTGGATCAATTTCCATTTCCAAGCCGGATGCGTGCAAGGACGACTGTGGGCAAATTTCGAGCCGTCCTCAAGGGGGCATTGATCGAGAGCCACGATGCCTCCTCTCCAAAATCATCAGCGCCATGGCCCAAAGACGGGTTGGGCCGACGGATGCTCGATGCCCATCAGTCCGGCCTGTGGGACGAGGAGCAGCTCTTGGATAACTTGACAGTGGCATTTGTGGCTGGTCAGGAAAACCCCCAACTGTGCATGATCTCCACTCTTTACCTGCTAGCCAAGCATTCCGTAAGTGCATATGGTTTCTTCAGTTGTTGGTCGCAATCTGGGGCAAAGCTGACAAGATGCCGCTAGGAAATGCAAGCCAGGCTTCACCAAGAGCTCGTGTCTACCGGACTTTCGATCTCTGCTCTCGCACAAAACACTGAAGTCCTGAGCAATCTCCCGCTCTTGACTTCCGTAATTCTCGAGAGCCTCCGTCTCTTTCCTCCCATCAATCAGCTCATCAACCGTCGCACCTCCCACGACACCCTCCTTGGGGACGGATCCATTGTCGTTCCCAGTGGCACATATATAGGATACAATTGTTACTCAACCAATCGCGATCCGGTAGCTTGGGGACCGACGGCAGACGAGTTTGATCCCTCCCGCTGGGGCGCCGACGTGACATCTATCCAGAAGCAATTCAGGTTACGCAAGTCCAAAGCAGAATTTATTTCTTTCCATGGGGGCCGGAGAGCCTGCCTCGGGGAGAAGTTTGCTCTGCTGCAGATGAGGGTTACAGTATGCAAGTTGGTGGGGTCATTTACGGTAGGACTTGATCCTGAGTGGGAGGAAAGGATGACTCCGGCAGGACCCTTGTATCCCAGGGCTTTGAGGTTGGTCTTTGAGGACAGGGAGTTGGAGTCCGAGAAGCAGGGCTGAATAATGACTGGATCGTTGATGCTTGAGTACGGAAGCGGGCATAATGCGGATTGGACATGGAGGTATGGGATCGTGCATGTATTTTGTCTCACGTTGATGAACATTATTACCTTAGAAAATAAACTGTTGGAACCATGCTGTTGCTTGTTGGGTATCGTATCGTCCCCAGTATGCCGAATGTGGTGATATCTTCACGATATCAAACATGCAGACACCTCTTGGCATTGGTATCATGTTGAGGATTAGCGTCCAATACGGTATCCTGCTTCCCCGTCTACCCAGTAATGCGTGGGGCCTGTCAGAGGGATCTGAGTACTTAAAACAGGATTGCTTATAACAGGCTCTTGTGTACCTAGGGTCCCGAGATGCAGGGAGCAAGGAAGGTGTCGTTGGTGGATGACGGAGAGAGCCGCATGGCCAGCTCGAGAGATGCAAGCCCTCTGGTCCAGAGCGGGCCAACCGCGCACAAGCCACCAATTAGGCGCAAAGCGTAGCGGATGCCGAACAGTTACCCGGGACGAGCCTAGCTCAGCCTCCTCCCATACGTCGACGGAGTCTTTCTCCGACCATCCACAAGGAAGTACGACGTCTGATACCGGTGGTGCATCTGCATCCATGATTCGACGTTGTCCGCAGCATACGGTGGCCGCACCGTGGGCGAGGCAGGCCGCCAGCGCCCAAACACGGGACGGAACCAACTATGCTTCAGCAGAGCGCGCTTCCTCGACGTCCTTCTGAGTATGCTTGCGCCTATCTGCATCCACACAGTAAGGTGGCTCCCATCATCAGGCAATGCCCACCATTACGAAGACACAATTTGGACGGTGCGCATGTGAATGGGATGGAGAGGATTCAGTTGGCGGAGTACCCCGCCCCCAACCTGGCACGCCTGAGTGGCAGTCCCACCAGTCCAGTGACAGTCAAGCCCGCAAGCCACACTCCTCAGATCTGCGTTGTGCTGGTAGCAACGCAACAATGACAACATCGACAGCCTAGAACCTCAGCCAACCACTTACCTGCTCTGCCGCCGAGTCAACATCACAACCTACAGTCTTTTTTCGGACTGTGGCAGCAACATAGCTCAGCCCTGCAGCTGCAGCTCTCGGACTCTACCAAGCACCTGCTTTGACTGGAGAACCGGGACATCCTGACAGACAGCAACGACGCTGCAGAGCCTGGGCTCCTGGACGTGACCCAGGCGAGAGAGGAAACAATCCCATCACAGGCTTTGCTGCACCCTGCGGCCGCCCGGCCGGTACTCGGGGAGCTGGACAGCAGGCTATTGATACATGCGAACCTGGGGGAGGGGCAGGTATACAAAGGATGCCATGATCTCCTTTCTGGTGAGGGCGTATCTGCTCATCACCCCCCCAGTCTTAACATACTACACGGCATCTGCATCCTGCTTCAAAAGCACCTCTTGCCCACCAAGTGCTTCTCAGCTGCTCAACTACTGCATCGTCACCGTCTGTCACGTTGTTCTTCTCCACATTTCTTGCTCCCACGTCTTCCACCAGGCCGAGGTGTCATTGCCCTATCCTGTCCCTACACCAAAAGCACGAAGCTCCAACACAGCGCCGGCCAAAATGGCAATGGTTATGGAGTTTGGCAATGAAGGCCAGTCCATTTACTTTCGTTACCAAGGCACCTACCTCCGCGACTCTGAGGGTAACCTCGTTCACTGCACCGGCTCTCAGACACAATGGGTCCACGACAACTGGGCAACACTCCGGTCAAGCCACAGCAAGCCCGACGCCAAAATATACCAGTCTTCATCTCCCGAGGGCCAGGGCCACATCACCGCCATCATGATTGGCAGCTATGGACGCATCGTCAACGGGGATGCCTTTGAAAAATACTTTGTCGACCTCCTCCTTACCCAGGCTGATCTCACAGCTCATAGCCCACCAGTCTCAGGAGAAGATGCCGACATTGACGCCGTCACCGGACAGATCGTCGATCTCTTCGACAGTTACTTAAGGTATGACGGCGGCAAGAGTGACCAATGGAAGGTGTCAGGCCGGAATTACTTTACACAACGGGTGCGGCACTTCACATCCCGAAAGGCCAAGCTCGAGATGTGCCTTCCTGCTTTTCCGTGCAAGTCATCCAACACTGACAAAGTTACTGGCCCGGATCCAGATCGTGGTGAAGAGCTTGCCTTGGAGAGACTGCACGGGTTTGTCTCTGAGATTGAAAAGATCTACACTCCGGGTGCCAAGCTCTGGGTCATCAGCGACGGACACGTCTTTAGCGACTGCATTGGCGTTGACGATGGCGAGGTGGACAGATATACAGCCATGCTTAAAGATATGAACCGAGAGGTCGGCTCCCGCTTCGGTGATCCTGGTCGTGTTGGCTTCAAATCTCTTGTCGACCTCTTCCAGCTGGCGTCCCGGAACGATGACCTCTCCACGCTCGCCGCCCGGCTCAGCCTGCCCCCGATTGAGCATCATCTGAATACCAAGCTCACTGAGGAAGCAGAGCTTTGCCGGCGGATTCTTGTTGCGGGTTCCGGACCTCGCAAAGAGGCCATTCGAGCCAAGATTGACTCGAAGGATGCTACCATCACCCGTCTCTACCGCGGCTTCTCCAAGTTTATGCTTGAGGATCTGGAAAGCCATCCTTTGACCAAGAAAATGTCGCGCTCCAAGCAAAAGAAACTCTCAGCCAAGGTGGCCTTTGAGATGATTGTCCGCAATCACGCCTACTCCAACCTTGTCGAGATGCTGTTCCCTAACTACGTCCGCCTGTCCATCCACGCACACAACAACGCCGGTCCCAAATTTGGCATCCAGCTTATCGATGCCACTAAAATCCGCGCCGTCACCTCCCTTTCGGCCGATGGTGAACTCATGGCGTCGATGGACCTGCTTCATGTACCCACCCCCTGGCACAACTGCGTCGTGGAGCTCCAAGGAAGCGAAATAATGTTGATGACAAAGGCCAAACTTGCGCGCACCGCCCTGAACAAGGGCTCCTTCACAGGCTCCCTCACCAAGACCGAATCCGGTCGGGCATACTTTGAGCTTACCAAGCGGCCCAAGAGGCCGATTGTGGTCGCCATGTCGGAGAAGATTGGTCCCCTTTTCAACAAGGTTTCGACGCCCATCCGTTCCTCGCCGCAGCTGATCAGGCGAGCGACGATTTCTATGTCCGAGGCCATGAAGACGTCGTCCCCGAGACTGCCAAGGGATCAAGGTCGGAAGGGGCCGGCGACAGCAACGCCGAGGGTGGGGAGGAGAATGTTTACCTTTTCGGAAAAGACGGTGGCGGCTTCGAATCAACAGGCTCAGCAAACCGCTCCACCAAACACGGCAGCGGGCCCCAAGTCTGGCGGCGGGGTGAAGAAGAGGTTTACTTTCTTTGGGTCGCCGCCGCCGCCATTAGCCACGGAAAATAGCAATGGCGCAGCGGTTGTGACTATTGTGCCGGTTATAAAGCCGCCTGCACCTCTGAAGCGTGTGAGGACTGGGCTTGGAAAGCTGTGGGGGGCCACGAGCCCAACTTAGGCTCAGCAGGTTGCGTTGTGAAGGAGTGATGAGGACGTATAAAGTCCTTACCAAGACCATTTGGTACCCACGTATTATTTTGTGTTTTCGTGGTCGGGGTTCGGGGTGGTGTTTAGGCAAGGTATCCGTCAAGACTGCCTTCTGCTTCTTGATGCTACAAACATAGATTGATAATATAAATGAAAATAATAGGTTATGGACATTGTTTAGATTGTGAGCTTCATTTCCGTTTTCTTTCCAAGGTGTTGTGATGTGTAAATGGGTGTTGGTAAAAGTACTCTACGTACCTAGCTAGGCAAGAAAGGAATCCGCGGAGATCCGCTTCGCTGCTCTTTGGATGATGAGCTTGGGTATCTGTATAAGGCACGGGTAAGATGGCGATAAAAAAGAGGCAACAGAAGACAAAAGAACATGCGGTTTATGTGGATCGAACACATGACCTTCAGATTAAGGATTGAAGTGGACTTCAGTCTGACGCTCTCCCAACTGAGCTAAACCCGCATTTTCGGATGTTATTCATTAAGAGAAACTGTCTACCTGAATTACCTCTAAGGTGAGGTCTCCAACTGCTCCATCCCGGGACAGGGCCAAGGTGTGCATTGACACCGTGCCGCCCGATCTTCCGCGCAAAGGTCAAGTATTTGAGAGAAGCGGTTACCGCGCAGACGCCGCTCCGTATTATCACAACTGGACTGGACATCTATTGATGTGTTTTGGATCTTGTGGCGGCGATCGGCGGAGGTTGGGGAAGTGGCAAGGGAAACTTATCAGTATTCCACCAGATACGACATGACGCGGCGTCTCTCACAGCCTCGCGCTGGCCGTATATTTGAAAAAAAATATATTGACTTGAGGGAGGGAGGGAGGGAGGGAGGGGGTAGTTATTGATATTTACCCGTGTTCTATGATGTTTCATTAGCTGCCTTCTAACCCTAACCCTCCTTCTAGAAGGCCACCTCCTAAGTTCATACCCTCCTAAAATGATACCCTCCCAAATCAATCTTGATCCCCAACAAAGCTCCGGGGTTGGTCGGCGGTTAAGTAAAAACCAATGACAAGCGTCGGAGGCAGATCCTGTGGATGATCTAGAGAAGTGTAATTGGCCGGGTACAAAGCCATTCACCATCACATCATCGGGCCGCAAGCAGATTTCACCCGCATTGGCCCAGGTAAGTTTGGGATTTGTATGTCTGCTGAGAAATGAAGGCTTCAAAGGCCAAGCATCGTGCACCTGTCGTGGGTGATCGTCGCACAACCCCTCTTTTGCACAGCGCGCGTCACGGCCTGTTACACCACCTACACCATTGCAGCTGTTATTGATGGCTTCAGAAGACCAGAGCAGGCTCCCAAAAATAGTTGATGTTGACACTCACCGGTATATCCGATTCTTCTGTTACTAGCGGCTTGCAACAAAGAAAACAGCAACAACAGCATGACTCCAGGTACCTCACTACCAGCACCCCTATGACGAATACCCCAGCCTCCAACCGTCCACAACAGGATTTTAATATGGCTCACGAGCCTGCAATAAAAGGAACGATGAGCCCCTCAAGCCCACCGGGGACTTTTCCGTTTACTACGAGTGACTCCGGGTCGAGGACTGGAACCAACGCGGCACTGGAGCCGGTGTCAACGCTTCGCCGGCTTCTCCCCGCATCCCGCCCACCAACGCGCCCAGGGCCTGAGGTTGCGGTCCTGCGTCGGAGGAGGACCTACACCACCGCCGCCTGTGAAGCTTGCCGAAGGCGAAAAGCAAAGGTCAGTTCAGTCTTATCGCTCACCAATGGGCTCCAGCTGACTATGTGCCTTGCCGTTACGACAGTGCAACGCGGAACGTCCGTCATGTGTATATTGCGTTTCCGCCGACATCCCATGCGTGTACGACACATCAGCAAGCAATGAGACGCACTCTCAAGCACTCAAGCGTAAGTTTGGCGAGCTTGAGGCGCGTGCTGCTGTCTATGTTGAGCTTTACGAGCTGCTTCGTGACCGATCCGACATCGAATCGACCGAAATCTTCAAGCGTATCCGAGGAGGAGGATCCCCAGGAAGCATTCTGCGCCGGATCAAAGAAGGGGATCTACTGCTACAGCTGTCTTTGAAGCCCGAGACACGATACCGCTATGTCTTGCCATACGTCAGTGAAATGCCGGCTCATCTATACCGCTCCGATAACCCCTACATTAAATCTTGTATCTATGACTGGTCTGCATTGCCACACAATGCCTCTCAGATTTCAAACTGGGCCACAAAAGACAGAGTCGACTCGCCGAAGACCTCGTCGTCGCCGGAGCCCGGACCACAGAGCATATATCTAATGCCTTTCCATGCCGCCGAAATTATTGAACCACTGCTCAATGACATCTATCCCTCAAAGTGGACCGTTGTCTGCAGTGATAATGCGTTGATGCGAAAACTTATCGGAGCCTGGATGTCAACAGAGAATCAATGGATAGTTGTGCTACAGAAGGACTGCTTTCTTCAGGACATGGCGGCCATGCGCCGGGGATGCTGCTCTTCTCTTCTCGTCAATGCTGTCCTTGCCAATGCCAGCGTAAGTGCTGCCAATCGCGCTGTTTATCCCCGTTCAAGATCTACCAAGGATCCGTCCCAGGCTAGGAACCTTAGCTCTAACCGTGCTTGTTAATATCCCAGATGGCTTACCCTTCATTCCACGATCGATACCAGTATTGGAGCCCTCAAAATCTTGCTTATCAGTTCATGGCTGAGGCCAAGAGGCTATGGGAATTAGAGAGTGACACCCCAAAGTTAACCACGATCCAGGCTGCGATGCTGATGAATGTTTGCACCAACATGAATGCCATGGATGAGATTGGCTTCAGCTACACCAAAAGGTATGGCACTAGACAGCAATAACCAGACAAACACTGATCCATAACAGGGCGGTAGAGATGGCGACTCAGATTGGGTTGTTGACACCACCGACCCGAGACCTTGCTCCGCTGAACAGCCCCGAAAATGCACCGCAAAGCAGAAAGGCCTTGTCAAGAAACTTTACTGCCTGGGCACTATTCAATTTCCAGGCGTAAGCTTCCCCTTTTGCATGTTACTACACAACAGCCGGGTGTTATGCTGACAATTCCAGTCTCCATGTTTACATCTTGTTCGAACCGCCTCTCATCCGAAAGCCCCCGGATGTTTCGCTGCCTGATCCCGCAGCCAACCCGGAGTGGTATGGCCAAGTTTGGTTGAAGTATCCTGGAGATGCAAAACTACATACAACAAACTTTCCGTACCAGTTTCAGGCTCAGTGCCAAGTTCGTGTCATTATGAACGACATGTGGCTTGAACAGTTTCGTTCCTCACGACAGAGCTCACCCGAGGGAGGTAACATCATGCTTCCTTCAACCCAAATAGAACAAGCCAACCGCTTCTATGCTCGCCTCAAGGCGTGGTATGATGCTTTGCCTGCTCCACTAACCCCTTCAAGCATTGTTTTCCCAAGCCAGATCCTCCTACAGTATGTACTTGACCCATCTATCCATTTCCTCTCAAGTCTAGGCTGTAGCTTATTTTCCTTTCAGCACCAACTACCAAAATATTCTTGCCAATCTTTATGAGTCCATCAGAATCACATCATTAAATGCAGGCATGATCACCGCGATCAAGCAAGCCGCTTCCTGCAACTTCGAAACATTACTGCGCCTCTATTACCTCCGACATGGCTTCAGCTATGGAGATCAGTTCCTCGTCCAGCCGTTGAACACTCTCGGCTTTTGGTCCCTGAGCAAAATCCATACCATTACCGCCCCAACCCATGAAGACGACGATAACAATAATAACGACCTGAAAGCAACCCGATCCACTCTGCTATTAGCAGCCAAAGGGCTTCACCAGCAGTCGGCCTCATTTTATCTCGACCGAATAACCTTCCAACTTCTCTGCTCCAAGATGCGACCACAGGAAAGACAGTTGCTCGATAGCGAGGTCTTTTTCCACGACCGTGACTACGGCGGTCACGATTCTGCCGTCGATCAAATCTCCCCACAGCCACGCAACCAGCTCGACAAAATGAATAAAGGCGAAGAGACCAACAAAAAGAAGGAAGACCACTCCGACTCCCCGACTGCTGTTAATAGGCCCGGCAATGACAGGAACCAAGGCTCGACTGAGAAAGAACTAATACGGGAAGTGAGGAGCAAGTGGGTGGTCACGGTCAGGAGTGTGGACGACGATCCTGAGATTCACAGGTTGCAGAAGCTGGTAAAAGATAATTTGAAACTGGACGCCACTGCAGAGTATTCGGATGAGGATGAGGGAGTGTATTAGTGATCACGGAAACTTCTGGGTACCTGACCAAACGCTCTTGTTATCCGGCGGCACGCATACAAAATGGGGTTCCATTTTGATAGACGTTGAATAAATGCCTGTCGGAAATGCAAAAACGCCCACTATCATTATTTCAAGGCCCGACTAGAAATAACATAGACACAGCTGTATTGTAAGTAAACGTTTGTTCTGCAGTAGGCAATGGCATATGTCTGCGAATTTGGTGGACACTTTGGTAACCTGAGAGCAGGCATTGTCATAAGGCCTATAGACATAGAGGTGCACGTGCTGGATAAAAGATCAGGTGCTGGGTGCCAGAGTCAACATATAACTAGGTATCATCTAACAAGTACCTTGCAGTTTACGACTATAATCACCCCGGTGAAGTTTGGAATTAGAGGCAGTCCAGGAGTTCAAGTTATGCGTCTCGCTGATCACTGCCTTAGTCATGATCTTTAAATCATGAGTGGCTATTATCTGAGGAATGTCTGTTTATATCTTGATAATAGCTGCAACCCCTCCCTTTTAAGGTTGACAGAAGTGAAAGGCATCTATTATTCCTTCTGAGACCTACTCACAACGGAGAATGGCCAACGAGAGTTCATCTTCACCCACTTATCCCGCAAGCAGAGATCTGTGTCGTTGCTGTTGTACGGTCTGTCTTCTTTATCCAGATCTTCAAAGCGGATGCAGTAAAGGGCGCCCGTCTTCATGCCCAAGGACTGGACGCATCAAAAAAAGCTTCATAGGCAGTGGTGGTTTATTCTATTCCGTTCCAGATGACCCCACACGGCCGTTTTGTTCTAGTTGTAGTTCCATGCAAGGTTCATTATTCTCCGACTTAAGGCACTTGCTTAGTTTAAAGCGAAGCACGTGAACTCAACGCCAGGTTTAGCGAACAAAAAAGCCATCCCCTATTCTCATCCCAACAAAGCCATTGATGTCCACCAATACCGTAGTATATACCAAAACGGTATGACATCTGACTCGTTTGGGTTTCTTGCATCGGACGTATATACCTTTCTCGAACTGCAAGTCTTACTGGAACCTGTAACAATGCCACTCGGTAGCAACAATACCACGTTGACGGAAGCAAGTTTCACCCAGCCACCCAACACTGCCACCCGTCGCATAATCCCGCAGAGAGTTAAGTTACATCGATTGTCTTTGTTCGTCGATACCCCAAGACTCTTTGGAAAGGGGCGTGAATG